GTGTAATTTGTATCAGGCTAGGATGCAATCATGGATTGTGTAGGGAAGAGGGGAGTTACCATGAAGGGACTAAGGTGAGAACTAATTGTATCTTCCTGTACCTAATGGAGAGTTACAGTGAAAAGAGAGGCAGCCTTTTCTCGGGGGAAAATAGTAAAATAACGAAAACCAACAGTCCTGGGTTAAAACAAGAGAAATTCCAGTTGAACATTAAGTGTCCCTGTGAGATTATCACAACACTGGAACAGCTGCCCAGAGAGGCTGGGGGGAGTCTTTGTTCTTGGAAATCAAAGAATTCCTGAATGGTTAGTTTTGGAAAGGACCACTGGAGGTCAGGTAGTCTAACCCCCTGCTCAAGCAGGGTCCCTTAGAATCCATTACTCAGGATTAGTTTCCAAGTGGTTTTTAAATATTTCCAGGGAAGGATTTTCCAGAACCTCTTTGGCCAATCTGTTCCAGTGCTTGGTCCCCCACACAGTAAAGTTCTTCCTCATGAAATCATAGAATATCCTGAAGTGGAAGGGACCCATAAGGACCATTGAGTCCAGCTATTGGCCCTGCACAGCACAGCCCCAAGAGTCATACCATTTGCCTGAGAGTGTTGTCCAAACACTTCTTGAACTCTGTCAGGCTTGGTGCTGTGACCACTTCCCTGGAGAGCCTATTCCAGTGCTCAGCCACCTTCTGAGTGAAAAACCTTTTCCTGATATCTAACCTAAACCTCCCCTGACTCAGATTCATGCTGTTTCCTTGAGTCCTGCTGCTGGCTACAAGGATGCAAAGGTCAGTAATTTCCCCGTTGCTTCTCCCTGTGAGGATGTTAAAGACCACAAAGAGGTCCCCCTTCAGTCTCCTCTAGGCTGAGCAAACCAAGTGACAGGTTCATGTGGAACTTCCTGTGCATCAGTTTCTTCCCTTTGCTTCTTGTGCTATTGGTTGGCACCACTGAGAAGAATATGGACTCGTTCTCTTGGCACTCCCCCTTAAGGTGCTTACAGACATTGAAAAGGTCCCCTCTCAGTCTTCTCTTCTTGAGCCTGAACTGGCACAGCTCCCTCAGCCTTTCCTCCTAAGAGAGATGCTCCTGTCCCCCAGTCATCCACATTCCCCTCTGCTGGACCTGCTCCAGGAGCTCCATGTCTCTCTTGGACTGTGAAGCCCAGAGCTGGACGCAGCACTCCAGATTCACCTCACCAGGACTGAGTAGAGGGGCAAGATCACCTCCTTCAACCTGCTGACAGTGTTCTTCCTAAGGCACCCCAGGATACCATTGACCATCTTGGCCTCAAGGACACATCTCTGAGTCATGGACAGCTTGTTGTCCACCAGCATCCCCAAGTCCTTCTCTGAAGAGCTGCTTTCCAGCAGGTCAGCCCTGTACTTTCTAATCTTCCTAAAGCAGGGACTTATATACACAGAATACCATGTATACTTCATAAACTTACCTTCTAAGTGAATGAAGTTATCTGTAATCAAATCTGTATGTGTTAAATTAATTTCTGAATTAATATTAATTTTGAAACAAATCCTGTTAGAAATGATCTCTGAGAAGGTTCTTCAAATTAGCACTGTGGTATTACTGGGTAAATATTACCACCTTGGGTAATATTTGTGTAATATTCTTGTTCCCATTTTGGACAGTTTCAACTCTTATGAGAAGTCTAAGACAATATTGAAAGGCTGTAAACCCCTAATTTTACACATAGAAAGGTTCCCAGAACAACCCCTGCAAAACCCCAGCCTGAAACTATTGACATCTGGCAAGGGTTAATTGGTGCTGGGAATAAGAAGCTGTTATGAGAGTAGAGACATACTATGCTGTTCTTTAGAGAACCTTGGGAATACAGTGACCCCCCTAGCACTAGGGACTACTTCCTTAATCCTGCAAGTGTGAATTGCCCGCTGTGTCTTTTAGAGGCATGCTCAGCATGGAGCTTTTTTTGAATGCTTCTTTTTGTTTCAAGTGACAGAACAATCTCTGAGAAGCTCTTTAATACTTCTGCCTTAAGATCAGAGTCACGGCAGAAGTGACCTGCTTTCTCTTTTCTCCAGTGCTGTGTTACTCATCAGGGACAGTCTTTTGTGTAAATACTGGTTTTCTGTTTCTTTCTCATGCTCTGTCCTCAGCTCATGATCTTCTTTTCCTGTCTGTGGGAAGGGAATTAAATCTTTTAAATACGTGTCTGTTTCAGCTCTCAGCCGTCATTTTGTCACTGTATTTCAATGCAAAGCTTTGAAAATCAGTGGCTTGGGTTCAGTCCTGGAGTCCATGAGAAACCTTCTTATTAAAGCCTTGAGAAAATGAGGCTCAGACTGTGGTAGTTACCTGGACTTGGATTGCTGAGGAAAGCCTTTTATCTCGTTGCACCTGACCTACAAGGTCTCTGCATACCTGTTTCACTGTTGCTGACCTACCAATGCTATGTGTGCCCAGCTCACCAAGGCTTTCAAAACCTTGTTGGTAGGTAACAGCTTTAATGGCCTGTGATTTGAAGGCACTCAGCACTCCAGTAGGCACTCTCAGTTCTTTATATGATGGACAAATACTTTCTTTTTTTTTTTTAGTGTGAATAACAGCACAAGCTAATTTTCCAGGATGGAATGTGCCTGAGGTGTGGTGACCACCTCAGAACTGTGCCATTAACAGTATCAGTCAGGACGTAATCCTGCAACACTGAAGTGAATGGGCACTTCAAGTACCAAGGCAAGGTGGCCACTATTGAAGAGAGACCAACACTTCACTGTCAGCAGTTGAAAGATGAGGCAGAAAGGGCAATCGATGTACAGCAGTTCTTAAATACTTTTCAAATTGGTTAATGAGCTGTTCTGATCAAGTGGGGTTTTTTTTGCTGCTTCTTGACCAGTGGTTTTTGTCAGGCAAAAATGACACATTCTCAGAAAAGACACTTGGGAATATTTTTTTTTCTTTTTTTCTCTTTTTCTTTTTTTGTTTGTCCTTTTTTTTTTTTTTTTTTTTTATTAAATAAGATATGAGACTTTTTCCCCCCTTCTTTGTTATTCTTTTAATATTAAAGTTATCAAATATTCATGTTGTGGGCTAGAGAAGTGGATGGTTTGAAATGCTTTCAAAGTACGATTTAGGCAAACAAAGTAAGAGTCTTTCCTCTTTCAGTAATAGTCATCTCAGTGATTAGTGGCAAAGAAGAAGATGAAAACATTGTTTGAGTGGATTTTTATATAAATGGAGGGCCTGAGAAAAACTATGGTTGATTTCCTTACCTTAAATTCCTAGAATCACAGAAGTGTTACTAGAAAAGGACTTTTAGATGCTTTTTTTCTCAGTCCACTACTGAAAGAGTAGCTGAACTCATTCCCTGAAAATGACAGCAATATTTGACAGATAAACTCGATATGGTAAGGTAAGTTGTTCATCCTCAATCCAAAAATATGAAAGAAGCTTTAAAAAAACAATGATGAACTAAATTGCAAACAGTATCTTTTACTGCTGAATTACAGTTTAATTCCACTCTACATAAATACCATTTGATAAAATCCCCAGATCATATTCTTTAGACCATAAGAAAATGGAGGCACTGTACAGTTTCTGTGGAGGAAAAATCAATAGAAACAGGTTTCTAAAAAGCGAGAAGTTGACAAATACTGGCAAAATACATCTTCAAGTATGCTTTATTTGCAGGTGATTAAAAATATTTTTAGGCAAAAAAACTAGTCAATCTTATCCAGTACAAGATAGAACATGATTTAGTGCCTAATGCCAGACAGACTGGAAAATGTGTCGATAGGACTGGTGATGCAGTTGTTGATGAATTACATGTGATTAAATGGCCCACATTCATATAGTAAAAAGACACGATACATACATATGAGGAATTATAAGCACTTAATATTTTAACAATAAGCAGGAGATTTTGTACGAAAAACAAGGGGCTCAAGGGGACAGGAAAGCTAAAGACATCTTAGTAATATGAGAAGCCATTGACATTTTTTTTAAAGACATTAACTTGCTCCTGCAAATTACTGCACTCTTGAGAATAGTATTTGCAATTTAAAACTTATCTAAAACATCACCAAAAGGTAACACTAATTCCTATTTTTTAAAAATTATTTTGTATTAAGAATTTTGCAAAGAACTGAAATATGGCATGGCCAAGAAGCATGAATTATCCACCATTTCAGAGACTTTGCATTCATCACATTTAAATACTAGGTGTCTGATTTCTGAAAGTCTCATGCAAAATCCAGCTATAAAAATTCACCACAGAATATTTTCAAGGATAAAAAGCTAATGTTTTTTAAAGCTCTGACAGACATCCAGTTGTGAAGGTGAATTTCAAAACAAATGGTCCACATTTTCAGAGGACATTCAAAAATATAGTTGTTGAACTTCCTGTAAATGCCCAGCTCTTATCTACACTTTGCATGGAATATTTACCAAAGCTATAACATTGGACAGTTAATGGAATATATCACTGCCTAGAGTAGCGCCAGAGGTAACATCATTATCTTTCCATAACTGCGTAATGAGAATTGAATAATCACAAAACAAATTCCTATTATGAAATGACTTTTTTTTCCTCATGTACAATATATATATTCATTTATATTGAATATAAGTCCAGTAATACTATCACAGTAATGTGCTGTAGTAGTCTTTCATAGTGAGAAAACTGCCCTAATCATCTTTAACATGCAAAGCTTGGAAGAACCAGAAATTCACAGTAAGTAATACAATTTGTATATGCATCTTCTGCCATCCTAAAGTTAACCAGAACACTCAAGACTGTTGCTTATTTTTTTTTTCTATGTTTAACAAAAGCTACAGTTCTGTATACTGTACATTCACAGTGGGATCCCAGCCCCCTGTACTATCTGCAAGAAAGATCAGGTTACCACCCTCCATCAGAGTAAACATTCTAGTATTTAATATAATAATCTTGTGAACAGTTGTTCCTAGCTTGAAGCTCAGCAGTTCAAGACTCGATAAAATTCTTCTTTTCATCTCTCTGAGAGGTTTCTTGCTAACGCATTTTGTAGTCATTAGATACTGACATTTCACATAGCTGTCCTTTAAAATCCAAGTCTACTGTGAAATCCAGGTCACGCTGTAAAAAGATTTAAATGCAACATGTAAGTAAGACCAAAAGTTTAGTGCACTAAACCAGGTTTCATTGCTTGGGTTGAAAGGACCAGCAGAATCAAGAGATTCCTGTGGTGGTTTCTAACTTATTCTGGGTTTAAATGGTGTTAACACTGAGAAAGCAGGCTGTAAGACGTTTAATAGCATTCATCATACAATCTGAGCTTAGGTCATATTTCTGTACTCTTCCTGAGGTGGATTTAATTTCCTGGTTACTTCCTGTTTCGAGAAGCTTCTGAAATGCTATCATATATATCCTATCAAAATTTTTATGGGGTATCCCCCACTGAGATGCTCTTAATTTAGGCTAAAGGACTTTCCCACTAGGGGCTGTTCAAGAACAGATCTAGTCAACTTCCTGTTGTACAGTCATTTTTTATCTTATAATGACAGGTTTGTAGGGAAGAGGCACTACACAGCCCTACAGAAGGAAGCGGTGTCTATGCAAGCTTTTGAAAAACTTCATGTTTCAGAAGAACAAGCACTAGCAAATCCTTTTGAACCGAGGTGGTCTCTCTGTCTTATGACAACTATCAAGAGCACATTTATTTTAGCACCTAAATCTGCATTCAGGTGCTGACTGCTGTGTGAACAAATTTGAGATATTTTATTCATTTTTCCCCTCACTGAAAATTGATACATTTAAACCAAAAGAAAATATTCCAGTCCCTCTAGGACAACATAAGGGTGGGAAAACAGATTATGTTCCTCTTGCAGCAAGCAGCCTCAGGGGTGAATGTGTTTGTTTTAATGCCAAGTTTATTTTGTGTTTATTTCTCCCTCTGTATCAACACTACCATATCCAATCTGTGTTTGGTATAAAAATGGAAAAGCAATGAAAAAAGGGAAGACAATGAAATGTTAAGATTCGTTGCAGCTAACAAATGCAATTTTTCAACAATTTCAACAACTGTGTAGATGGATAACAGGTTAACTGCTGTTTACTGTAATAGAAAATGAAGAGATACTGCTGAAGAGTTTTGGCAGAAAGTGGTCCAGTGTTTCTCCCAGAAGCCATAATTCTCATGACTTGTTCTACCCAGCCATGGGTTGTCTATCAGACCGTATCTCACAGTCTCCTTACCAGTTAAAAGAACACTAGGGGGATTCAGCCCATAGCAGAGAAACTGAGGAAGTTTTCAGCAGTCATGGTAGTGTGATACCCATCATGCTTTAGCTTTAGTCTTAAATAAAGCATCTGTATTTTCTATGGAAAAGCACAATTTTTAATTTTTAATTTTTTTTCCCACTCAATTAGTTCCTGAGTACCTGAGTACTCAGGTACATTCGATCAGTGAGTTGATACAAGCATTCCTCTGAAACGTGTTACTTAATTTCCTGTTGGGGTGTCCTTGAGCACTGAGTGGCAAATCACTCAGTGCCCATAGATGTGGAACTGAAGTACTTACTCTTGATCATCCTGCGCTGGCAGAAGGGATCTTTCCACTGATTTCAGTGACACTGTGAACAACCCCTTGCCTGCTTGTGTCACAGAATGAGAGTAAAGCTGATTGCAGAGGGCAGCTGACTCAGTGCTGTATTTGAATCCTTCCTCCCTTGCCCTGCTAGCCTGCTTGCAGGCTGACTTCTGTAAGATTAGCACTGCTTCACCATTGCTGTCATCAGCTTCGGTGAGGCTGTGACTGGAGCTCTTGCTAATCAGCATGAATGCCTTTAGCACGCTCATTGTTTTACTCCTATGCATTTTCTTTATTGCTGATCATAGTTTGTGGTCAGTAGAGCTGGAATTAGGATCAGGGATGCTGACTTACCACATTTTTTGCATTTGGTTTCATGGATATAGTCCCATAGATTTCTTCTCCTCTTCTCACAGTTAAATAGTCCTCCAAGTAGAAGACAGTTTGCTTCCAGTGAGTATAAGGAGCATCAGGTGCTAAAATTGTATATATATGGGTATCACTTATTGAAATTTCTTAAATGCCTTGCAAACGAAATTATGACTTGGAAACAATTGGGAAAAATCCTTTTTTTTTTTCATAGAATACTTTATGTACTATATTAACAAATATGCTTTAGAACACAATTGTGTTGGCTGTCTGTGAGTTGTTTCCAAATTTTACTGGAATATGTCAGATGTGAATCACACCCAGCAAGAAAGATTCCACAAAAGGGGTTACAGGGCAAGATAGGTACATTTTTATGCTTTTCTTTCAACCCACACATGTTCAAATTGGGAAAATCTTTACCACCAAGTGCTTTGAATTTCAGAAATCTAAATTAGTTCAGAAAACAATGATACAAAAGCATGAAGGAAAGATCCATTAAAAATTATTAATCACAGTGTTGCAGATGAAACATTTGACTAGTGATCCCAAACAAGCAAATTTTTAAATTTCCAGGATACAGTGGATGAAAGGGCATTTGCACCTTGATCTCTTCTGGGACTATTAAAAGGCATTTTGGGAAATTTGCCAGAGATGGAAACTGGTCTAAATTAATTTCTAGTCTTAGCAGAATCACTTTGATGACCCTTTGCTATTTCAGGCTTTTAATTTACTTCTTTAGTTCTATTTCTGATTTAAATTTCAATCTTTGAGCAGTGCCTAATGAACTTGGTCACTTTTTTGTTCCTACCATTCTTGCAGTCAAGAGCATCTAGGAACCTCAGAATAGCTGTAGGAGCTCAAAGACTTCCTAACTTGGCAGGAAAAGCTTCTGATAGATTTCTTTTTCTTCTATTTGTATCCTCCAGTCACATGAGGTCACTGTATGGTATCATTATTAACACTTTAATAAAATAGTGGTTTTATTTCCTTTCAACATCAGTGTTTCAAAAAAATTACTTGGCTTTGAAAATTGTGACTGGGGAAATGCTGATGCTTTTTAAAAAAACTGGAAGGACATGAATTTTTAACCCTCTTCTAAAATTCTAGAATGAGAAGACTGATAAAAACCAACTTTTTTCAGAAACTGTGCTGGAAAATTTGTATCGTCGAAAGGAAAAGCATTTTACCAGATAATTTCTGTCTATGTGTCCAGACAGTTTTAATGACTGTTAATCCCAATTGTTAAATGAGATATCTTCTTGTAGTAGTTCTGATGCAGACTGTTTACTATTTGGACATGGCTGCGTACCATGAAAACATGTTAGACCAAAACAAAATAGAATTTATATTCTAAATCATAACTGCTGCCTTGTACACACCCACGTAGTTGTGCACATGCCCCTGTTCAGGGCCACATTCCCTAGAAAAACCTGACATAACTGGAAACTTGTGCCCCAAAAAGAGGGGGTGTGTGTAATTCAGGCCCAGGTCTCCAAGTCCACCCCAAATTAAACACTTATTCATAATTAATAAAAATACATATCAATGAAGCAGTGTTTTGACATGTCCTACAAACTGGTGAATGTTACTGAATTCAGTGCAGCTTTGCCAACAGACACCAGGTGAGAATCTTTACCAGTTTTCTAGACAGTGGTGACCTTCAGCAGCAGATGGCCAAACAACCTTTTTATGGAGTGATTCTGCACCTACCATACCATGATAAACTGAACAGAGGCAGAGAAACACTTCACCCTCCTGTCCACACAAAGGCTGTCTACAGGATGAGGTTTTTGCATTTATTGCAAGACTCTCTGGTTTATTCAGTCTGGTAAACAATGCCTTAAGGGAATGGAGTTATTCCTTTAAATATCTGTTCACCAAGGCAAGTTAGAGTTTCACATCTGGGTTGTTAGAGACAACTCACATAATCAGTATGTGTGTTTTTATAGCTTGGAAAAAATGGTAGTTTTGTTTTTAGGCTCTGGGGCAAGCTTTGTTGTGTTTTGGATTTGGGGAAAACTAAGATGCAGAGCTGCTATTTCTCTCTGAGCTGATAATTCTCTGTCTAATCTGAGAAACTTGACACAGGATTTAGATATAGATGGTGAGGGACATAAATTCACAGGTCGTAATTCCTGCTGAGCTCTAAGATTGATATCCATTGTGAAATTCTGCCTCTGTTTCCACAGAATTCCTATAAGCAGTTGTGCTTTCCCCATCCTGCTCACATCCCCCAAAATTACAATCGTTTTTATCACTGAAATTCAAATGTGGTGGTACATTAAACCTTCCTGTACCATCTAATCAGCAGCACTGATAGACAGATAGCAACAGAAATTAAATTAAAAGAAATACAGATTACCTGTAGAAAATCCCATCTTCTTGTGGCACTTTGTAAATTCAATATTAAAATAGGTGACCAAGGCATGAATGTAATCATTGCGTTGAATTTGGAGGCAGAATGCAGAAGTAAATTCCAATTCTTCAGTCTTCACTGTATAAATATCTACTTCCTGTTTTGAGGAGAAAGAAATGCCATTTACATGCAGATGTCTGTGACTCTCAGGTAAGTGTTAAATGAGGTACTTTAGTATTTTGTTTAATGATCAGACACAAAGATGACTGGCAGCCTTTTAAGACTGTAAGAAATCAGTGGCATATTCTAATATACCAAATCATGAGCAGATGAGGCAGTTATCTGACTAAGCTGAGAGAGAGGACACTCACTGTGTTCTTGGGAATGGTGGCGGGGGGCTGTAGGAGCTGGGGAAAATCAGGGTAAAAAAGGTGCTCTGATAAATACAGGTAGATGTTGAAATGGAGATGTAGGTCCAGTTCAAAGACCTTTTATCATCAGGGACTGTCAGCATGAGGAAAGATGCCAGAGTTGGATTTTTAATAAAAATGAATTTATTGTTTTTCCATCTCTGGAAAGGAAAGTGATTTGATAGTGTCAAGCAGTCAAAACATTTGAGGCACAAGAGGGGCCTGCTTCTTGATGGTGATGCTTTCTAGTCCTGTATCAGGTAACTGATTCCAAACAGTGAGCACAGGGATCTTGCTCTTGAACAAGACAGAAACAAATTATGTCAATTGTACTATGGCTTGATTGGAGTAGTTGGAAGGGATGTTGTAGTCTTCAGGATTGCTTATTTCTATCAATATTTAAATCTCACTGTTCAAGGCTTAAACTGTGTTTTTCGGATGGGTCTGATTTTCCCAGCTAGGTACTGCTTTCATCTAGGTTGTTTCCAAAAGTTGTAGTGATGATAGGGAGGATGGTAAGTCTGAAGTACTATTCTAATTCTGTAGGAAGTGTTTCCTGTGCACTTTGTGGTACTTTCATAGCTCATTCTCATTGCTCTGGTACCCTTATTTCTCATGTGTACAGGGAAACAGAATTTTTGGAGGCAGAAATCCAAATTTTCTCTACCAGCTGAAGTCAGGAATTGTCAGGAAATGACCTCACCAGCATTTCTTAAGATTTGCACTGCAAGAATGGAGAGCAGGGTCTAGACTGCCCATCAGAGGGCTCTAGATTTTAGCTTCTTTTAGGGCACATCAGAGGGCTCTTGTAGAAATTGCCTTCTGTAATCTAATGTAGGACTGCAAAAAGAGACTTAGAAAGATGCAGCCATATTTCAGTTACTGAGGTCTTTGCATGACCACATGTGTGTTTCTGAGACTTGGAAGACTTATGGAGCTGATTTAAGCAAGCCATAGCTTTGGCTTGTCTGGTTAACATTATTGTTCAAGAACGACTTAACCATAATGAAAATGATTCTACTGCATTGCAACGACACCCTGAGGCACTAGTGTTTATCCTATGTGACCTATGCATATAACTGGTCATTTAAAGCTCTGATAACCTTAAAATGATTTTTTGTTTTTCCCCCTCAAAAGAGGATAAGAAAAAAGCATGGTAAGAAAGAGAACTTCTGAGGTCTCCTGGCAGAGTTCCATAGCAGCCTGCAAAATTTGCTTTGCCAAGCTAAACTGGACTGGTGGGTGATAGCTGCAGACTTCTGTAATTTTTGGTGTCTTTTTAGTGATCTCACTGTGGGGAAATTGGGACTTAAGTCTAGTGGTGAGACACATAAAAGGGAGCTAGCTCCCTCTCTCTGAGCTGTGTTGGCTGTGCAGGGTAAAGTGGAATCAAAATAACTAGGAAATATTTTCATTAGAGAAGTCAGTAGAAATTTCTCAAAAATATTAAACAGATATCCTGAATAAACCATTGGTCAGTTTTTCAGTCCTTTTTTTAAGGACAGAAACATAGCTTTTTTACAACGCAAAGTAGGAGACAGAAGTGGGGTGGTTTTTTATCCATTAATATAATTCTGAGAATGGCCAAGTCTGGTTTTGGTGATCTCCTTGAATTGTACTCTGGCAACCATATATTCTTATATAAAATGGCAACACTCATTACAGCTAACTGCACAGGAGACAAATGATAGAAATTGGAGTTAAGGTTGCTTCTAGAGTGCCATGATACCTCTTCCCTGATCTCCTTCCCAGACAGATTACTCAGCTAGGACTTTGTGAGCATGGAAATAAGCTAAACATGCAAATCTCAGTGGATGTCCAGGTTTGGTGGAGTTCTTTCATTTGTTTGTTTGTTTTTTTGTTTTTTGATGAGAGAAGAAAACACAACTGTTTTACTAAGTATGAAACAAACTTTTCCATATTTTTGGGCAGTGTTCCTGAAAGCAGTAGGCCCCCAGCAGGACACCTGTACATTTATTCCTGAGTTCACTCATTGATTCTGGTGGTTTGAAGATGCTTTGTTCTCACTACTCTCCCTGGCTGATTTGCTGTGGAAGTTAAACACAGTACTCGTATTTGGCAGGAAAATTCCTGTGTCCCTCAGGTGTATTTAAGAGATCATGCAAAAGAGAATGGCTCTCACAGCAGAGAGGATGCTGCATTCCCTGCATGCACCACCCCTAGTGCACCTGTGGTCCAGTGCCTAAAGTTCCTTAAAGCATTCAGGACTTGGGTTATATCCAGTTTCTGAGGAGTCAAAATGAGGAAATTTTACTCAAGTCTCCAGCATGTCAGATAAGTGCCATGGCTACACAGCATGCACAGTTGATGTCTTATTTTGCTGATTTTGTAGAACCATTCAGAGCAGCTAAATTGGGAATTGAAATAACTGCAGAAGCCCAAGACTCTGACTGGTCTCTGAGGAATGTTTCTAGTTGCTGGTCCATCTACTGACTAATGTAGAGAGAACCCAGACTCATCTGGTAGGCACCCTAAATTAGCTGGCTTTGGGTTGAATACAACCCTAAAAATCCCTCTGTGAATCTAATATGAACAAGCTGTGCTATCCAAAAGTGCTGTAATAAAACATTTGAATAATTAAACATTATGGCTTTGTTTATTCTCAAATGTTTTCTTAGGCTAATATTATTCTCTGAATTCACAAATATTTCCAGGAGGAAAGAAACACATTTTATATAAATAAACCATGTGCAAAAGTAAATTAAATTTAAAAATATGTAATGACAGAGTCTGTTTTTCTTGCTTTCATATTGCTATCTTGAACATAAATCTCCCTCCTTCATGCTTTTCATTGACAGTTTTCTCTTTGCTTAGTGATCAGTTTGTGAGATTAGTGACTGATTCTGGAATGGAGAGTGGTTTGTGCTTGTGTACTTATTACCTGCTTTGCTCTCATGGTGCCTCTACATGGTACAGCACCATCCAGTTTATGGACAAAAGATGTCAAAACTAAATATAAAACCTGAATAGAAACACTTTGAAAACTGTTGTCTGTCATCTTAAACCAAATTACTTTCAAAGACCTTCTAAATAAAGCGTTGGATTTGCACTTCAATTAAGAGCGTGCAGCTTTTTATTCCACATCAGCCAATCCATTTTGCTCCCTGATCTCTTTCTCTCTGGACATATTTCATGGAGTCTAAATAGCTGCTTCTTTTGTGTGTGCTGCAATTTTAAATTGCTCTGGTTGAGGCTGTTTTCAGGCACAGCCATCTTGTGTTCCCCTCAATGCAGATGGACTGTGCATGCATATGTGCTCATGCAGAGTCTCTGCTTCTGTTCCTTTTTGCTGCTTTCAGTAAAGGTTTTCCAGACTGGAGGCATGGCTTTCCCTTTTGCATATGGGAATATTTAATGCTGTGTTTTTCACTGGCAAAAAGTGAAAGGGGAAAGACAGAACTGATTCTTTGGGATAAATGAGCTCTTGGATTCATGGACCTGGTACTACCACTACTATTGATGCAGAGAGCCTTGTTCAGGACAGTTGTCCCACATGAGGATTCCTTCACATGAAGGGAATTTTAGAGCTTTCAAATGTTCCTGCAGACAGTTCCTTCATTGTTAACATGACCTTGTGAACAGGGTTTAGTACCTTTCTGTTTCACACAGAGCAGGGTACCAGTTAAACTCTGGGTGCAGGTGTTGGGGCTGAGAGAGAATTCTTTATAAGGCTGAGAATTAGGAAGTTAGAGAAATAAATTGAGTTCAAATTCTGATCGCATGTTCTGCAGTTAATTATGTCATCATCAATTCAGAACTGATGTTTCAGACTTTTTTACTGCAAACAGAATAATTTACCCCTTCTCCTCAGCAGCACTCAATCAGTAATTTCCAACCTCTATTTACTAAAAGGCAGGGCAATTCAAATTGATATCTAAATATACCATGTCTGTCTTCATCCAGTATTTGCACATGTAAAATTTGTAAGAATCTTGAGATACAGCCTGCAGATGTAACCAGATGAGACACAAGGAACATTTTGCTTTTGGGAATTCCATAAGAAATCAAGGTATCAATGTTCATGCTCAGGTCATGTGACAGTATTGAGCATGTGAAACATGCAAGATCTGGTTAATCTAAAACTGCACAGTTTTCCTTCATAGTGTTGCAGCATTCTGCAATGATGGCTTCCGCAGCTGCTTCAAAGCATGCAAAGACAGCAGCAAAACACAAGCAGCAGGTCTCAAAAGAACCCTGCAGTTAGGTGTAAACAGTCACAATGAGGTATATTCAGAATTACCAAACCTTTATTAAGCAGGCGTTGGTCACCACTTGCTTTGGATCTACTATGTCCACCAAGGGCTCCTTCATGGCCACATCCCTAATACAGGTCATGTCAAAGCCGTACACATTCTCCCACCCTGTCGGTGCAAATGGATTTGTCAAGGTTAGCAGCAATAATAGAAAATATTTTCTACTTCTCTAAGCATTTTTCTTTTGAAAGAATTTCTACCATCCCCTTTCAGATGTCCTTTAAATTTTGCAGATGTCCTCTTCAGCTTTTTGCTCCCTGCCCCAGCTGTCTATGTCATTGCTATTTTACAGATAATGCAATTGTGGCAAAATAAGTGCTCAATGTACATCTTTGAACAAATGACCCTTATTTTTTGGTGTCCAAAACTGGTTTATATGAGATTTGTCAATGATTTTTGTGGCTTTAGACGCTTGTGATTGTTGTCCAAAATCATCTGATGTCAGGCTGAGTGTTGGGGGTTTTTTGTTGTTGGGTTGTTTGGTTTTTTTTTCTCATAGATTGCCACTCAATTGGCAGTTTATATGCTCTTTTGATTATTTAAGTAGTTTTAGTTTCAGCAAGTGAATTACTGGCAGGAGTGGGATTGCAGGTGTGTTTCAATAGTTGGGACTCCAAGTTTTAATCTGTGCATACATCATGACAGAAAAGCAAAAGTTCATTTTTAAAAGATTTAGAAGTCATGCCAATCCTCTGCATTTGAATTGTTCTTCTGATTGTTCCAAAAGATGCTTCTTATCATGTTGAGGATTTTTTGCACAAAATGAAAACATTGAAAAATGGAGAAGTACAATGGCTTTGCTTTTAAGTTTGCTTAGCAAAGTGAAAACAAGAACCTTCAAACAAGTGAAATCTTAGTCTTTCGGAGCATGTAAATCGAGGTCCATTCAGTGCTTCATCTCAAAATCTAAACTAAATACCATGAGTGTTTACATAAATGTCTTGAACAAAAACCAAAGTAAACAGATAAACACATTTGTGAGCATGTTTGAAATGTCTCATTTTTTCAGAGCATAGCATTTGAGCTATGGTTTCCAGAGGAATATGATGGAAAATGTCACGTGATATAAAAATCTACATATTCCTAAACTGGAAAAACATGGACATGAGTGGTTCTTTGATATCTCTTTACTAACTCTTTATTGGTTTGTGACTTTCTCAACATTTCAGGGGAGCTGAAACTTTTGTTTCAGGCATCATGAGCATGTGAGAACTTCAGATTATATTTTAAAAAGTAATATATTTTCATGTGATTACTCAGAAAAGATTAACTAGAAAGCCCTGAAGAAGCAACTTATTAATTTTTTTATTTATTATTGGGACCTCCATAATTTACTGCACCTCAGCCCACATGGGATACCTTTGAAATATATGGGCCAATCTGTCTTAGGCAGAGAGCTGTCACGGGACGTAAAAAATAAAATTATATGTTTTATATTTTGCAGTAAATCAGAGTAATTGATGGTAGTAGTACTCTGTGGCATTAATCTTCAGTTAGAAAAATCAGAAGTTGGATTTTTTTAGAAACCTCATATTGCATTATTTCTTTATCAATATAATGGTTCTTGAATGCCCTTTAAATGCTGAGGCCCACATCTCATATGAAGGCAAGGCTCTATCCTCCTTAAGGGAGAAAAAGACGAAAAATTGAAATGTAAGGAAACACTATCAAGGATTTATAAATGGAAAGGAGAGACAAGATGGTGGTGCAGATTGTGAGACGGAAATAACTGACGACAGAGGTAAAGGTAAGGGGGGGGAAGAGAAATCAGAGGTGAAATCAGAAAATAAAGTGTCTTAGAGGAAAACAACATTTTAGAAGAGGAAAAAATTACTTTGTACGTTTTTTCAAATGGCTCAAAATGAAACAATTTGAAAACAGATATATTGTCTGTGAGAAAAGAAAAAGACTTAAGGTCTAGAAATGAAGGAGTTCAAAAGCAAAATGAAAGATTTTAGCCCAAAATGGCTCTGATTCCTTTACACAATGGATGCCTCATACATCCATTTGAATCTGTACATTTTGTAAGGAGTTTAACTGTCAAGGTCATCACATAGTCGAGGAGAAAATCTAGGCTGTGCTTGAAGGGGAGATATAATCCTTCCTGGCACCTACAGAGACTTCTTGTCACCACCCCACTGCACTGGGCTCGCTTTTGACCCAGAACAGCAATTTTGACCAACTGGCAGTTCTGTGTATTAGCACTGAATTTGATTACAGAAACACCAAGCCTTCTTTTTTGGGAGGAGGTGAGAGTCAAGGAATGAGGAGTTAGGCATTTTTATTTAAAGGTTGTCTGAAGCCACTAATTTAACCCAAATTTTCACATGTATCTTTGGTTAATAAATTTGCTTAGGGATTTTGTGGTTCTTTTTTTTTCATAGTGGAAAATACCTTTAAGTGAAACTGCCCAGCTCTGAAAAATAAATAAAATTTAAAAATGTTGAAAGGAAAAGAAGAATAAAATAATGTAAAACTTGTTCATTTGATCACAGCAGGAGCCTGGACTAGATCACTTGTAGATGTCACAAACAGCACCAGTTATTTAATGATACTTCAAAGAAACTCTCCCAACATTTTAAAAGCAAAGGAAATGTCAATTTTATGCATCTATGAAGTATTAAAAAAAACCAAATTAGAACTCTTTTTTAACACATAAGTAAAATTTAAATTTCTGATCCTTATTTTTAATTGAAAAATTCTCACATAAAATGTTTTTAAAAAGCTACACATGGTGTGGGGTTTTTTCTTTTTGACAGGCCATCATGAAGATATAATTTTTTTCTAGGTTTATTTCTTCACATGTACAATTAATTTGCATCTTACTGCTTTTATGTTTTTGTTATGTTAAAAACAAAAATAAAGACCTGAATGGCAAAAGAATATTACTAGGTTTTGAGGCTGTTATGATGGATTATATATTTATCAAAACAACAACAAAACTAAATCTCCTTTAATCCACATTTTAAATATAGCTAGAGGTATTAATATAACTCTAGACAAAGTCTTCATCAATTTATACATGCATCTCTCCTTTGTGCACTTTAAATTATGTCAAATTTCCTGAATTTATCAGCAGACCAACATTTTCTCAGAGCTCACATCCATACTGGAATTCTGGCCTGCAAAGGGGTCACAGTAGGCTACTGGAAATGAAAGATTTTAGGGAAATAACCACAGAAAAGTGTTACTGGCAGGTGCTTACTCACAGTGAATTTTGAAGTCCTTGTACTGTCTGTCTTCAATTGCTACCACGTACAAAGCAGCTCGGTCTGGAAACATTAGCCCTCCAGGTTTCTGTTGATGAATTGTGGGGAAATGGATCTCGTAATCTATTCACCTGACAAAGACATCACATTTTGAACTGCACATACAAAAACCAGACAAGCACCCCTTGCATGCCTTTATTGTTTTCCTTCAGATTTGCACACCAGCTTTAACCTCGCAGCCTGCGGCAATGTCATTAGACAGTGTCTAGGCAAACTTGGCCGGCCAGCACTTAATCAAAAGCAAAGCTCTTTCACTGAGGTTCCCTTTGTTATCTCCTCGTTAAAGCCTCAGAAATGGCACTTGGAGATGCGACTGTGTCTCGTTATGGCGACAGTAGGGAAGGGAAAGCTTGTGGTCAGAAAATAAAGGGAGACTGCTCCAGCAAGGAGCACGACGTGCAGAGCACCTACCAGCCACTTGTCTCGTGCGAAGATGACTGTGTTTAACATTGACTCATAGAACAGACAGTAACCCATCCACTCGCTGATGATGATGTCTACTTGATCCACAGGTAATTCAACTTCTTCCACTTTACCTTTAAATATTGTGATTACTGAAAAGAGAATCCAAAGAAATACATTTCACATAATAAACGACCCGACTAAGATCCTTACTGGTGAATGTCAGGCTGACCTTTTCAATCTGATTCTCTTCTTGAGTGCCTGTCCATAAGGCATGACTCCACGTGACTCAACGCACTTCACGCTTTTTAAAAACTATGCAGAGTACGTACAATAAATAGCATTTTTAGTAACAGTATAAAAGGAAAAAATACCAACCCAAAAGCCAAACAAAAAACCCCACCATCTCTAAAAATAACAGAAAAACAGGTCTTACCTGGTTACCTGCATGATCTCATTCTAAAATGCCCTTTGGAATTTGACAGATTTCTAAATCATTGAAAGATCTAGCAAAGAACCCACTTAGAAGCATTTAAAAATCCCTGCAGGTTTACACACTAATGTTAGAATGTTGGGCCATATTTAGTTCAATTGTAACAGATAATTTTGTTTTAGGACTACTACACAAGTCACCAATCATTCCTGCTTTGAAAAAATAAATCCTATTTACAAATGCATTTTCAGCTTGTGCTAAATTATTTTCAGCATGTGTTTCTCTCATGTTTATATTGTTTGTTGCAGTGGATAGAGTGCCATGGTTCTGGATTCTTCCTTGAAAAGGTAACTAGAAATTTAGGAATAAGGTGAATATTCTACTTTCCATTACTAATTGATAAGATTACTCCACTACTCTTCATTAATGGTAATTTTTAATGATATTGGTTTTTATTGATGGTCAACATTCAGTTTCAGAAAAAGGAAGGTAATTTAATTTAATTTACCTAGAACTAGATTAGCTGGCTGAGTGTGGAAGTGTGGGTTGAGTGATTTTTAGAACTCAGCCCAGGGAAAAGGAGGTTTTGTCTTTCCCAAATACATGCAGCACTAGTATTACTCTAACCAGATTTGGCCACTTTATTTGCATAGCAAATTTTTAGTCCAGACTGGCCCCCTAAGAAATTGGGAACACTCTGACTCAGACTGGTACCACAAAGTATCAGCTGATAAGAGCAACCTGACTGGAAAAGAGCAGAGTTCTCTTTGCCATTATTTAAACTAATTTTTTTCACAGTTAGTAATTCAACAGTTCATCTCCTGTTATACTGTACACTGAAGACTTCATGTCTACAAGCTCCAGCCATGAGTTCTCTCAGTTCTCTTTTCTCTCAAGAACTTCCACTGTCCCAATTCTTTCGGAGTGAATTTCAGCACTGCTGACAGCTGCCAGAGTGACGCACCTGACTGTGAAGCCCCCTGTTTACAGCCAGAACAGTCACAGTATAAGCAGCAACAGCAGCACTGGTTCCTCCCACCTACCTTCACTTCCTAAGGCATCATGTGGGGACAGTTCATGCTGTCCCCAGAGGTATTGCATGTCACTGTTCTGGAAGCAGTGGGTTTTCCCTTGTTCAGCCTCTTTCGCTGACTCTGCCTTGCTCAAAACATTTGGGGGGGGGGGGGGGGGGAAAGGAAAATTTCCATGAGCAACAAGATCCTTTGGCTCAGTACCTGGCTGCATTAAAATAGAAGTGAATGTGGATCAGTGTGGAATGTGAAGGACTAAATGTTGGTTCAGGTGTGCAGTTTGCAGACCAAACTGCAGTCAGGCAGACTGCTGAGCCTCGCCTGCCAAGTCTCCTCCCAAAGGGAGGGGGTTCTGCTCCTGCCCACAGTTTCTCAGTATTTTCTCCTTGTAGAAACAGGAGGAAAAAGCAGAGACATAAACATTCTGCACCCTCTGGAGAACACTGGAACCTTCTAATTTATTCTGACAATGGTCCCTTCACACACAACTCCTGCTGCTGGAAATCCAAACGCAAATTGATTTGCGGTGCGCTATTTGTGTCTCCAGCCGATGAAAGCCATGCTGGGAACACACAGCCTCTGCATCCAAGGTTAAGGACAACCACAGAGGTCACACCTCACTGCTTTAGTGCCTTGTCCCTACTGTGGAACGAGTATTTTCTTTGCTTCCTTTTGCTCCTTTGCTTCCTTCTTTTCCTGAGCCAAGTGTTGCATGCACTGGCTGGCCCCTGGTATCCCACGTCAGCACTGTTTCACACCACAACACTTGAATGCCTGTGATGTACAATAAATATTCCTCGCAGAGAGCTCGGGGTTAGTCACAAACTGCCAGTGACAGCAATAAAAATCAGAGCAGATCTGAAGCAGCACAGAAAGCCACTCCTGCGCCTGTGCGGGCAGAGCATCAGCGCGGCCACTGCTGAAAGCGCGGGCGCTTGGTACAGCCCAGCCGTGACCTGCTCTGCAGCAAAGGCAAGCTCTTCACAGAAAAACACTTTTAAACAGGACCTGTCTCACGGCCTCAGTTAAAAAAAGACTGACTTTTTAGGTTGTTACAAAGATATCTTGAGTGCTGTGATTTGGAGGAGGATGGAAGACAAGAAATAGAACTTACTGGGGATTATTTTGTGCTAAGGGTTTTCAGTAGCTTGGGGGTACTCCTAGTTTTTGTTGGGTTTTTTTTTGTTTGTTTTTTTTTTTTTTTTTTTGTTTTTGTTTTTTTTTTTTTTTTTTTTTTTTTTTTTTTTTTAATTTAGAGTTTCCACATACTTGGAAATTTCATCAGCTTTCTATTCCAGCAAAAAAGAAGTTTTATATGATATTTTTATTTTAGGATTCGAACAGTTTTGTTTGTGTTTTGATAAGGTTTTGAAAAAAGTATTTTCTTAAAGTGAGGAGTCAGAAAACTTGGTGAAAAATTTTTGCTTTAAACCTCATTTCAATTTGAATGTCAGTATGTGTGTTTGTATTTCTGTTCTGTCTAAGACAGAAGGTGGAATTCTAATGGCACAATTAATTTGATAAGTTCAGTTCTAATATAGGGTCTTCCTTCTGCTTTGCTAAACTAAACTTCCCATTGATCAGTTCTAGTTCCTTTTTTGTCTCTGATAAATACAGAATTGACAGTAATTCCTGTGAGGAATTGTTGTAGTGCCTAGAAAGAGATGTTTAGTTTTGTATTTACATAAGTAAATTCTGCAAAACTACCATTTACATGGAAAACACACAACATAAATTAATCAGAACAAGCAAAACTGTTATCTTCTCTTTTTCCTGAAAAAGAAAATTATATATGTCTTACTGTTGTCCAAGTGGTTGGCCTTGATAATTTTTTCTGAGTAGTCAGATATACTTGAGCATTCAATCTAGGAAAAAAAAGAAAAAAAGAAAAGCAAGATAAAGAGGAATTTATCTGTTAGAGAGCTCGGCTGTGTGAATGAAAACTATCTACTGAAGGCAGCAAAGACTCTACAAAGCATGTAACCATTGATAAAGAGTAAATCAAACCTGTGGGGAGGATCACAATGATATTTGAATATTTAAATCGCAGTCTGTGTCTGAGTTAAACCAGCTCCTGTAGAAAAGATTGCTTTTAAAATTGCTGAAATGTGAAAAAAGAGGCTCTACCTACAAAATGTACATTATTAATTATATTTAATTTATTCCTGATACTTTAGAATATTGCCTCCTCCCCCACAAAAATCTGCTGAATGGAATCAATTAGGATGATGCTACATTTCCATATATATTTTTAAACAAAATACATTCAAACTTTGTGAATAATATTAAAATTCAAATGTGCCAATACTGGTCTATGCCAAAAAGTAACTGTTTTCTATGTGAAAAATCTATATTCTTTAGCAAATCTGCTATTCCTAAAGAATGCAGGCATTTAACACATAAGAAAGGACTGAAATTTTCTATTTAAAAGAACATCCAGATCTGCATGGCTTTTTGTCTGACCAGTTCTGTGCTTTTTCTGGGAAAATAATTACAGAGTGCCCCAGAGTTTTAAATTTGCCCTTAAACTTGATAAAATCTGTGTACTAGCATAAAAGCGTTTGCAATGACCTCTAATATCTTTTAGAAAAATACTACATTCCATGAATCCCTCTGGGTTTTGTGCCCCTTGAAAATCATGAGGGCCAAAGTTGCTGGTAGTCACTGAATCAGTTCCTAATTTACCTCTCCCAAATTTGGCATTAAACGGACCATACTACTTTCCGTAATCCTTGTCTCCCTAATTCCCCTATGGGAATGTCAAATAGAACTATATTATCTCTAATGAAGTGGTTTATATAGCCAGTGAATCCCATTTAATCTCTAAAAGCTAAATTGTGCTTGACCTCTGAGACAGCACTCACAGATGGCAGGACAGTGGACGCAAGGACACACAGATCCTTGATTCTTTTTATATTGTGCATGAAACAGACATAACAGCAGCCATAATATCAATCCCAGTGCCCATGGGAGCACATTGATTCTGCTTAGCTTGCCTGTGGGTGTAAACCATTCCTAAAATGTCTGACTCAATGGCCTGAGCATAAACCAAAATTGGCTTGTGGAAAGGAACACCTGAGTGCCAGTCCAGAGAGTTCAAAGAAGAAATCCTCTGGGGTGAGGGACATCCTCTTGCTCCATCCAGGTTCTTCCCTTACTCTAAACCCTATGGACTGTATGTCCTGTCTATAGTTACTGCCTTTATACTCACTTTCCCTGTCTTTACTCACATCTGTCTGGTATTTTCAATTCCATTGCCCATTTTGGATGGTTTTTAAATAAAGCAGGCGTAGGTAGGTGTTTGGAGGTTGCTTTCCAAACTTTCTAAAGAACAAGGTGCAAAGAAATAAAAAGTTCTTTCTCATGAATGACAAGTTTCTAAAAATCAGCTTCAGAAACAAAAAAAGCAAAAGAATAAAACAACCCAACATTTAAACGTTTCATGAAGGAATATGTATTTCAGTAAAAAAATTGCTTTAGAGTGGTTAAAGCTGTTCATCTGTATTTTGACTTGGACTCTATACTGTGGTTGAATTTATTTTAAAAAGCAACCCATTTCAGAAAAAAGAAAACTGAATTCTGCAGGTGAAGAAATAGAGGAAAAATTGGTGTTGTCAGATTTTTTTTCTGAGTTTTCTTTCAAGTCAGTATCTGCTCAAATCTGTCCTATTTTGCAAAGCATTTGGATTTTATGAAAAGCACACGTTCCAATAAAGTAAATCTGTACCTGAGTTTATAATCACACAATTATTTGTGTGATTGGTTTGGGCTTGAAGAGCTCTTCAAAGGATTGCCCTGATTCAAGTGAAGGATCCTGTTCCTGGCCATGCTGAAAATCACGAGGTTCACACAGGCCCACTCCTCAAGCCTGACAAGACTGCTCTGTGTGGCCCATTTTCCCTCAAGTACATCAGCTGCACAAAGCACTTTTGTGTCATCTGCAAACTTGCTGAGGGTGAACTCAATCCCACTATCTCTTGTCCTTAATGAAGACCTTAAACAGCAGTGGTCCCAGCATGGACCCTTGAATTGCTTCAGCTGTGTCGGGTTCCGTGCGTGTGTATTCACCTCTGCTTTCATTTTACTTCTCAGTCTTCACTCTACTGCTGCAAATGTCTCCTCATTTACTGTGGTCTCTTCCTGAAACAGTCACAAGATCCCCAGATTTCCCCTGGGCTGTGTCCTCATCACCACCTTTTATACAAAGCAGCTGACATCTAACATCAGCCTTCATTTTCTGTGTCTGTTTAACTCCTTCTTTCCTGCACTGTCTTGTTTGTCTGAAAATAGCAAGAAATTCAGATAGTTCCACCGCAGTGACTGTCCTGAATTTTGTATTACTAAATGCAGCAGATGAAACAAGGCTTCAAGGGATATTTTATGTATTTTTGTGTCCCTCACTGACCCCTCCCAAGCACCAAGAGCTATGTGCCAATTCTATCTCTGCATTTCTTACAACAGCTCTCCCGTCAGATGAACATCAGTGCACGGCACATTGGTACCCTCCCCCAAGGGTTAGGACTCAGAGCAGGTGAAGAAAGAAGAGAAAATGAGGGGGCTGGTTCTGTTCAGGTGTAGAAGAGATCCCCTCCAGTCCAATAGCAATCTAAAAGTATCCCAAAAGGACTTGCAAAGAAATTAAAGTCAAACTCTTCTGAAATGCACAAGGACAAGACAAAAGTCAGTAATCATAAGCCGTGGCAAGGGAAATTCCTGCTGATTGTAGGTCTGGAATAGGTGCTGAGAGAGTATTTAGAGTTTCTATACTCGGCGATTTTGCAAATTGGACTGGACATGTCCTTGGCCAACTTGATATGGCCGTAAGTTAATGATTCCATGATTTACATCTCTTGAAGACCCAAAGATAATTCCAGCTGTTAGCTTTGGTAGGGGCAAGGAATAAGTACCAACAGTGAGTAAGAAGGGATAAGAAGAACCAGACAGAGTAGTGGATGAATTTGAATCCAAAGAGAGAAAGTGTGAGTAAGAGGAGAGTGATTTCTGTAGTCAAAAAACCAACACTCTGCATTTGTCAACAGTTCCCACATCATGCTATTTGAAAAATCACATTTAACGGTAGAGAAGAAACTGGAACATCTCAGCTCTATGTAATAACTGATGGCAAATGTTTGCTTTTTAAATGGAACACTCACAGTTTCCAATTGCAAATATGACCGTAAAGTCTCAATTTGACTATAAGATTGCTGCTGCTAGGTCTGAAATGTCTGCTTGTCCAACACAAATCCACTCTGCAGCTTGCTGTGTACAGGGTTCACGGTGAGACAGCTCATCTGACAAGAAAGTTGAAATTCTTTGGCTGTAGCAGAAGAGTTTCACACCTAAGGGAGTTCCTCTGAGAGCTAAGTTCCATGGATAGCACACCCACCAGCTTCAGTGATGAACAGTCCATCGGTGAGCTGGCACTGGTGTGCCACTCAGCTTTATAAAGTCCTGAGGTAAAGCCTGAACTCTAAAGAAGTCCAAAGGGAAAAAAAAAAACCAAAACCCAAACACAAAAAAACTCTCACAACAACAACAAACATGGAAAAGTGTTTACTTTTCTTTTACTTGGTGAATTGTCTGCCAGTGAGCTGGCTCACTGTAGAATCAGATAAGCACCAGTGCCAGCACAAGGGAGGGAGGAAGACCATATGGCCAGGGATCTGAGAGATGGGAAGGTGGGAGCACATCACCATCATTTTGTATATGCTTATACTTCTAGAGCACTGCAACATCTTTCCCTGAGACCTGCATCACAGAAAGCTGCTGGTTTATCCTCCCTGAAGCTTTGAGGTAATAAATCATATTAATAAGTAATACTTTGTTTACAAGAATATACCTTCCAGCTGCCTATCTCAGGCTTAAACTCCAAAACTTTTTCCAGCACCTTTTGATTTCAGCTATGTATAGTTTCATGCTCCAGTCTGATATTCAAATGAGATATTCAGAAGTTACACTGGATTTTGAAAATATAAGCCTGAGAATTGAAATAACATTTCATATATCATTACCAGTAATAAAGACACACAGTTTGGATGCTTAGTGACATCAGTGTCCACAAATGCACAGATGTACCCAATTAAGTTTTAGTAAACAATTTTGCTGAAGTACACTGAGAAATAAGATCTATTTCCCCTTTTCTGTGTTGCATTGTGTCTTCAGGGCAAACAGAAGTCCGAAGCAAAAAGAAACTGCATCTGTCATCTTAGAGTCAGTACAAATAAGTTTGAATATACTTAGTAAGCAAATCTATGCTCTTCGTAATGACTTCTCTGTAGAGAACAGCACATTCATGCTCCTAAAGTTCAATGTATTTAAGGTAATAATTTCCTTCTGCCTCTGAAAAGTGTTATTGTTGGCACAGAAAACATTCACACGCTTTCTTGCACAATTTGCTGAGTTGTAATTTGCAGGGAAAAGTGTATTAAGGAAATGTGTTTCCAAGACTACAAAGTTGCAGACCCTGAAAATTTAAAAAGCAAGATAGTTCCCTTAACCCCTCTGAGTAGGAGTGAGTCTCTTTAACATTTTTTTTCAGCCAAGAAGAAATGTGAATATGTACTAGAACACCAAAGGTTCCACATATGAAAAGATACTTACATCCCCCTTTGGAAAAGGTGCAGTAGTGCAAGTCATAGAATATAACAGAACTGCACTGAAGTCATTATAAACCAAGCCATAGATGAGCTTGGAGAGCAGAATTTCAAACCAAGACAAGTAAGAAAAGGTAAATCACGAAGCCAAATTGTCAGGCAAAATGCACAAACAAATTCAAAATGTGAGAGAAAGTCTTCTTACCCCATATACCTTCTTGGCTCCTGCCTTTGCAGCAAACATGGAGAGGATTCCCGTGCCACTTCCAACATCGAGGACAATCTTATCTTTAAAAACATGTTTATTGTGATACATTGAGTTTCTATAGGTTAATGTGCGTACTTCATCTTTTAACATTTCCTGTGATGAAAATAAAAGGATTGTGTCACTATTTGAAATGCTTATATGCCTTCCACACTGCTGTTGAATGCATTCCTTTGCTGTCATTTAAGCATTATTAACACACAACATGAAGGGCTTCTCGAGTACTTTGGGGTGCACACATCAAAGCAACTGTAAAATGCCAGCTACTTACAGCTGAATTATTAAGAAGCAGCATGATGTCCCTTGTATGATTTTATTCTGCTATTACTTCACTGTTACAATCAACAAGCAGAGTGTAATCTAACCACAGCACTGCTTTGGGAATAGACAGAAGCCATACAGAAATCCAAACATTCCTTTCCTCCTAAATCATGCACAACCCAGAGTCTCAGTGGAGGGACCTTCTGAGGTTCCTCTTTGAACAGAAAAGAAATGGCTCCAGAAGACATTATACAACAGAAGGCTTGACAGCCTTGCCCATGTGAGGCAGAAGCCCATAGCAGAGCTTAGAAATTCTGTATTGTAAGTCCTCCCTCACTGCTCTTTCCACTCATTTATCTGATCAATTTCCAGAAGATATTAATATATCACCTAGAATACCATCTCACTATTTTGAGATGTAATTGTTAGGTGCTGATTTTTGATGCACTGATAGCAGCAGTACATGCATTTAATTCCATAGATACCTTGCTTTCTCTTGTACCTCCATCAGTCAAACTACACCAAGAAAGAGGACTCAGCTCAAGACCCAGGTGCCATTTTTAAGAGAAGTGTAGACCATTCAACACAGACTTTAGTTTTCTGAAAATGCTTCTGTTATGTCTAGAAGGCTGAAGGTTTGTTTATACTGTTGCATAATTTCATAGTTTGAACAAGAAGACAAATGAGTTTTTCAATTTCAGGATGAAAAGGATCCATTCACTGCCCAGCAATCTGAGGCAGTCATGAACTGGATTGTTACACATATCAGCTGCTTACTTACCTGTCTTGGCAGGACACTATGTGTGCTCAGTAACTGTAGATGAACAAAAGGCTACTTTTATCATAAAACATGGTTTGGTATCAGTCCATCACCACTGTGAGCACAAACTCATGGAAACTATTTCCACACATGTTAAGAACAAGAAGGTGACAGGGAATGTTCAGCATGGATTTGGAGATGACTGAGCACTTGGTATCTTTCTATGGTGGAGTAATGGGCTTTGTGGATGAAGGAAGAGGAATGAGGAAGAGAATGGTTTTTATCTTGATTTTTTGCAAAATTTTCAAGATTTTTTCCCATAACATCCTCATTGAAAAATGCATGAACTATGGACTGCATGAATGGTCAGCGCAGTGGGCTGAGAACTGACTGAACTGCTGCTCCAAAAATGTTGTAATGAGCATCACAAAGTCCGTCTGGAGGCCAGTCACGAGTGGTATCTCCCCAGCTGTCAAAACTGATGCCTTTTAGCCTGTTTTTTCAGATGGATTCCATCTCTTCCTAACAGACCTCAATCCTCAAAGAGGGTCCCATAGGTATAAAAACAAAGAACTTGTCATTGACAAGCTGCACAAGCAATTGTGGACCTGTGGCAACACTTCTCCTCAAGTCCTTGTTTGTGCTGTCGAAATTGAGGCCAAAATCTGCCTGGCACACCTTGCTGTTGGTGATCATCCTGAGAGCTGCCCGGTGACACTTGCTATGCTCCAGGTCTCACTGGTGCTCATGTAGAACAGCAGCAGGCTCTGAGGGCTGGTCTAAGGGAGGATGGACAAATGCCAGCAGCCTCTCCACAATGCCCCAGATCCAAATGCCTTGGCAGAAGGTCTTGTCAGCAGATGGGGGCCTCTGTGCCCTGCAGGGGAGGGCCTTTGGCAGCTATCACTTGTCACTTGCTCCCAGTGCCTCTGTCTGGCTCAGAATCTGGTTCTGGAGGTTTCTTGGACAGAACTTCTGTCCCTCAGCTACAATGAAGACACTGACCCTATTCTGTAGCCAGAGATCTTGAGGTGGGTCAAGAGCCTCCCTCCTGTTCCCAGAAGGCACAAGTTTCCAGCCTTCACCATCAGAGGAGTCCCCACTTCCACACCTGGTAAGTACAGACTCTGACTGCCTCTCCCTTCACTACAGTTGGGGTTTTAGGCTTTGTACCTTCATGCTCTCAGAGAAGATCCAGTCAGTCTCTTCCTCATGCCCCTGATGCTTCAAAGTCTGCCATCCTCCTCTAGCAGCTCCTTTACTTGTGGACACAGATACTTTACAGTGCACATCTCCTGCAGGCAAGGAGGAAACTTCCCAGCCTCAGCAAGAAGCTCTCTGCACTCCCCGAGACCTACACGACTGTATCCTTCCATCAGGAGCTCCATTTGATTTAAGGTCTCTGATGTGTCTTCAAAATTTCTCCTAGGTCTCCTTCCCATTCAATTGTTTCTCTATCGTCTTCCATTCTTGGACTGAATTTCTGAATTCTACAATGGCAAGATGTTATTGGCAGATAGAAATCTTTTATGTTTGCACCCCACAACCAATTACTAGAGTAATGGCAATATTGTTTGTTATGCTGTTTGTGAGGAGTGCACTGAGTCATTTCACATTTGCTTTTTTGCATCCTGCTCCTAAAGATCTCATCCTCTTGTGTCAGAAAAATATCAGCAGGGCAAGGTATCAGTGACTTCTTTAGAACTCGTCTACAGTCTCAACATTGTGATAGTAAAATGTCCATCAAGTATTTCAAATTCTTTCCAGGAGTGTATTTAATGGAGGCAATTTGGCTTAATGTTCCCATCAATGCAACCTGTGCATTCAAGTAACATGCCAGGAGCCAGGAAACTGTTTGGCTCCTCATGTCAGCTGAGCAGCTGTTCTGCTGATGTCTGTGCTCAAACCCTCAAGAGAACAAAATCCCCAGCTTGGCAGTAAGGGAGTGCCCATGGTTGTGGCTGGGCTGGTTTGCAGCGCTCATAAATGCACTGCATTGATGTACTTGTGAAATTCACCTCTGCACAGACAGCTACAATAAAAATCTAAGTGGGACATATGTTTTGGGTGCAAGTCTCTGGGGAAGTGGGGGATATCTTTGGCACTTAACCAGACTACACAATTGTCTGAGGAAAGGCAGAGGAATATAATCATGAGCAAGTGGGATACAGAGAAGTAAGTAAGTAAAAAAAGAAATAATGAGAATTATTATTATTATATTGTTAGTTATTTAACAATTGCTGAAACAAAAATAAAGGTTACCTCATGAATTCCAAAGTGAGCATAGGAATCAAAGTAATAATCCCTGGATGTCATCTCTTCTGGATTGATGAGCTTTGCCATCTTGCCTCGGCCCGGACAGCTGGGTTGCAATGGAACATGGATGACAGACTGAACTGGCTTTGGAACAACAGCAGGCTGAGGAGGCTGGGATGGAATGGTGCAAACCTAGGAGAACATGGAATATTGTTAAGAGGCATGGTTAAAATAAAATATTTCTCTCTATGTCTAGCATAGTGATATTATTGTTAGTGCTATTATTGTAACTATCTAGTAGATAACAAGTCCAAAGGCACCTGGTGTATCGTAAGTGAAATTTAGGTCTCCTTCTGTTCCTGGATCTTTAACGTATTTGATGTCCTGCAAAATTTCCTTAATGGATTTTTCCTTGATGTTTCTCTGCAGATACTTAAACTAGTGCAGAATAATGGTAAATTACTGGTGTTGGCTGAAGTAGGTTACTGCAAACATTGACACAAAGCAGTAAAGTGCTACTTTTTTTCCATTAATGTCCTATTCTGTCAAACTGCCACAGCTTGGTGAGAGGAAGGTGGCAATAAGTACATAGTTCCCCTGCAAGGAAGAGCTCATACAAAAAGGATTCCAGACACAGTATTGCCAAGAAGGGCAGGATTCACAACTGATTCTTAATTAACAGGTAAGGTACCCTGTCTATATTGATGACCTAGGTCTGAGAAGGCTCACGATATCTGAAAGTCCCTGATGCTATCTGAAAGCCTCTCAGCATGTCCAGGAAGCACTATAGGGATATGTGTGACATGTATGGTGTCTTAATGCAGTTTCCTCTTGGGAGATGAAGGAGTTATGTGCTTCCAACACACCACGGCCCCCAGCACTTAGTTTTTTATTGAGTACTGCATCTCCAACACCAGCATTCTGATAGACACAGAATTCTCACACCCCCTTGGTTCACATTTGATACCTGTAGCACATAAGACAGAAGACAGAATGTTTTCAAATATGAGGTAAAACAGACCCTGGTCTGGCCCATATGTGTATCTGCATTCTGAATCCTTATTATGAAGCAAAATGCTGAAAACTGAGAAAAACTGCGCAATATCCTACAGCTTCACCTATGCACTAAGTCACCTGCAAAGTATGGGTCAACAACTTCATATATTAAGGTCAATCCTACTTAAAATATATCATATCCTTTTGTACTTTTGGGGTTTTTTATGACTCAGTTGTTTCCCAGTGGGGACCAGAGTTGCCTGAGCCTCTCCTCTCTACTTTCATGAAGTTCATGCTGCCTTCTATAGCTCGGTACTGTGAGGTGTCAATCCCCTGTACTGTCTCTGAATAGCATCAATTAGCCTAGTTCAGTTTGCTTCAATTTAAAGAGAAAAAAAAAAAAAAGGAAAAAAAAGAGGAAGAAGAAAAAAGCCCCCACATTTTGTAGATTTCTGTGTGTCATCTTTTGATGGCTTCTTTGGTCCATCTGTTAAAAAAGTAAATACCATTGGTTTATGATCCTGTAACATTTTTCATCCCCAAAGATACAGAAGTGCTTTATTTATAAGTCTTTTCTATTTCTTACATTTTTAACTTTATCACCTCACCCTGTTCACCTCACCTAGTTCACCTCCCATGCAGAATACACTTGCTCCCAACTGGTATTTGTATTTCTGTTTGGTCTGGTTTCAAAAATGTCCATCTGCAACCAAGTAATTTCTCTTAAGACATTGCTTCATTGCCTGTTCATTGCAAGCAGTAACACTGACAATTTAATCTGTCAAAGTGTTTCTCTTAATATTCAACTCTTTCAAATATAATCGTGCTACTTTTAATTACATACTTGAGGTTATATCTCAACTTTTTTCTCCATTGGCACGTACCTATGTAATTTTTGCAGTTACCTTTCTCAGCAGTCCTTTCTGAATTTGTCTGCTGGATTACAAAGACTTAAACTGTAGGTGTTTGAAATTCTGTTTTATTATAGTATGAAATCTGTAAGGTCCTACACTTTCCTCCTAAATCTTACCCTCTGCATCATTTTACAAGCAAAATACATAAGTTTATATAAATTACAAAATAAAACAGTTGTTGAATTCTGTTCTTGTCTTAGGTAAGAAGGTCTCCAGACACAGGACAGTGCATCACAGGCAATTGCTCAAAAGATAAGTAATGGAGAGAAGTTATATCAGCTTTTGTAAAGGAAACATGGGGGCTTCTAGCATTTCTGTTGCTGTCAAACTACAAATTTAAATGTGGTTTGCTGTACAACAGAGAGCATTTGCTACAGGAAAAGAGACTGGTCTTGAAGGCGAATATCTTGTCTGGATCTCAGGCAGTATCAATTCTGCTCCTGGCTGCATGGAAGGGTCTAGGCAGGATTATGAGAATGAGGTTATTCTGACTAAAGATACTCAATGAAATTAAACCTAACAACTTAGGCTACCAAAGTTGTCTGAATTAATTTCTTTCCTGTAAAAGAATTAACATAACTGTTTCTTAGTCTGCAGCTGAATTATGCTATGGCCAAGGGGTGGCAAGATAACTTTTTATTAAGCTACTGAGGCAGTATTGCACCTTTGACTTGCAGTACTTCTCAGATTTATCCAAACTACCTGAAGACTTACTGCTCTCAGCTGTGAATCTACATCTCTGCCAGGAAGAACATATCCCACCCAGCAGAAGAAGTAGAAGCCTATCTGCTCCTCAGCTGGCTTAGTTTGTAGCCAAGCAGCCTGTGGAAAAATGTGTTGATGGTGGCTGTTTGACAACATTCGGCTCTGAATGCCAACAGGTCCATCCCGTGTTGTGGGTACCACAGCCTCCTGCAGCAGGGGCAGTAGAAAACTGCATGGGGGTGGTGAGCTTCTCAGCCAGCAGCACTCTGTCACAGGGACCTCAAACCAGCTGCCTCATTTCTGTTTCAGGCATACTAACACAAGGCAGACCTCCCGGATTCAAATGGTGTACATTTTGCAGTGTCTGTAATACCTCCTGCTGAAATTTCTGTGTGTAGCACTGTAATTCTGGAATTCCAAAACAATGCCACAATTATAAGAATAATTTTGTAAGTGGGGCTCAGGAAATCACTTTGCCAATAAGTTGCCATAGACTCCATGAAAAATTTCACTTGAGAGAGACTTATGCCCTATGACAACAAATATCTGGGGAAAACAGTGGAGAGCTACAGAATAAAGAATTGCAATGAAAGCTATTATTTGGATCAGAAACAACAAAGTCTTCTGGTGTACAGCTCTGAGTTGTAAACTAGAAAAAACTATGTTTTTAGGGATATGGTGTAATTGCTTCAGGAGAAAACATGCTTTTAAGACAAAAACTATCAAGGAAAGACAACTTCCTATATTCTTTCCAGAACTGAAAAGAACCCTTGATGTGATTTGCAAGCTTAGCACATATATATAGCCTACATGAAGAACAACTCATCTTTTGAATAACACCTGAAAAGGCAAAGCATCTGGGCTGGGGGCAAACCTCACATCAGTGTAAAGAATCTAAAAAACTCTCTCTGCAGAGCCCATGTATGGATTCTGGCCAGCTGCACACAATTCCAGAACACTGGCTTGCTGCTAATGCAGATGAAGTCTGAGAATGGAAGCAGCTGCTTCAGAATTCTTTCTTCACTGTGCTGAACATGCAGCCCTCTATTTTTCCATCTCCCATGTGGTACTGAAGGTGGAGGTGGGGGATCTGAAGGATCTGAGAAGCAGTCTATCACTGCTTTGTGACTGAAGGCCTACCTTTGTGTACCATTTCAACATTTAAATCAAATTAAAATAGGGAAATACTTTCCTACTTTTAAAAATCAAATAAAAATTATTTCCTCTTTGTGGCCAGGGGTGGTACACTGCAGGTGATCAACTATACTAGCACAGGACTGGTTTCTTTAAAAGCTTTGAATTCCTGCAAAAGACAAGATTCGTAAACCTCATTCTTTCTCAAAATCCCACAACTCAACATCCTGATGTAGGTTTCTGAAACATATACAGGCACCTCAGTGACACCTCTGTGTGACTTTGAGACCTATAGAGTTGCCCGTGTGCATCAGTAGGTACTGTTGAAGTTCTCTGAAAACTGGACCTAATCCTACATGGACCAACAAGGCTGTCTGGGTGTACAATTCCCAAAATACAAAAGAGAACGGGGTATTCAAAATCATGAGCTATTTTTGAAAATTTGAGCCTTTTAGATATATCCATCTCTCTACAGAGAGACAAGATGGTGAAATATGCACAATTCATTTTCTAGGAGGTTTGTGACAAAAGCTGTGGTGTGCAGAGTAAAAATAAACTTCAATTTCAATTCTCCTTTCTTGATATTACTATGGAGACATCAGGCTGGAGGTTAAAATTCCAATCCTTGCAAAACTGTTGTTCAAGCTGCAGTATTTCATTCTTGACAAATTCTTAGTTATTTATGGCATTTTTATGACATTGAAGTGGTTAACTGTACCTTCTGCTGGGAAGTGCTGAACTTTTCCTCAAGAAACTAATTAAAACTGGAATTACAGTTTTAACTTATTCAATTTCAGCATCATTTTCCTTTTCAACAAGAGGTTTTATCATATCTAAATGTCGATTTTACTTATTCTTTGAGCCAGATAGCTTTCTATGTCAGAACTACTAGAATAGAATGTGCCTAACACCATTTTAATTGGTCTGAATTTAATAATCAAGACTTCTGGAGTGCAAGAGATTATCAACTGGTATGCAACCACCATAGCAATTCCAACAATACAGCTTCTTCCTGCTGCAGATATAAAAGCACGGCCAAATATAAGAGGTATTTGCTATCCTCCTGCCAAAATTTAGGCTTCAACAAAAACTTCTTGGCAGTCATCATGCAAGTTAAAACCTCCTTTATCTTTTATTGTTTTGAAGTCTTTGTCCAAGGCTTATCTTAAGTGATCTTTGAATAGGGCAAAGAATCTAATCCATTATCAGAGAAGTTTTAGCCTGATTTTCTGAGGAAATGAAGCTCTTACAGTATCTTGCCTATGCCTCCCATTAATATCTTCTGAGCTTATCCAAGCCAGTCTGATTTGACAGAAGTATGGAAATATCAAATACAATTATATTTTGATACATTTATTGAAAACCAGTAATTAGGTAGAAGGGATCTGATGATCCACTGAAATTGAAGCAGCTAGATTTCAGATGTCATGCTTTCTACCTGCT